TAGTTGTACATACTCATCATCTAGTACATAGTAAATATTACGTTATATCTTAAAATATATTTATAAAAGAATTATAAAATTTCTTATAAAAAATTCAATAGCACATTATAGAATTCATCGTACTTTGATTATAAGCTATAAAGTATACATACAATTATTTAGTTAGCATATTGTAATATTTACTAAGTATACAGTAAAAAATTAATAGCAGTAAGGCTAATCTTTTATTTCTTCAAAGTAATCTTTATAAAATACTTTGTCATTTTTTTCAAAAGCATAAAAAAAATTAAATCATTGGAGAAACAATTTTTCTTACATACTTAGTAATTTTTGCATTATCTTTATGTATAAATTTTTATAAACATTTACAAATAATTTTATAAGTTCTAGCTGTTTCTAAATTACAAAGCTAGCACAGCATTTTTTATGTGAAAACCTTATAATTTTTTTTAAAGTTTAAGCCTTCTTTTTTCCGTGCAGCCTTCCCGTGACTCTCCAGTTTTTCAGCATCAGCTAGGCAAGATCTATAGGTCCAGTGCTAACCATAGAGGTCGTTCTAGTTCCACAAGTAATCGCTTGCCCTCAGAGATTTCACTGGTTACCTCAGGGGTTCTTGGTTTCGTCATCATCAGCTTAAGATAACGAGAGAGTAAAGAATTTCCAGGTCCACCTGTGCAGAGCCTCTCGCTCTAGTAAGGATATGTACAATAAAGTATCATCTGGTTCCTCAAGGGCATCGTAGCAGCAATAGTATTTTTTATACTATTCAGTCATCAGCACAATAGTTTACACCGTTGACTGACTTCTAAAAAGCCCCCCGCCCATCGTGGTCTGAAAAAAGATTATTTCATAGATGGGTTTTGTTTCGGCCGAAAATTGAACCCGCTACCTATAGTGCACCAGGCTGGCACGTTACTATTTCGACCATGGTATCGGTAATATTAAGACTTACTTTTGATATTTAAATCCATATTATAATTTAAATCCAATCACTTAATATCATTAATAAAATGATCAATAATTAAAAACATTATTTATTTAAAATAACTCTTATTGTTCACACTTTAATATGTCATAACATTTTAATTGTCGAAACTAAAGTAACAATGCAGTCGTTATAATTGATAAGATTTTGTTGGTAAAGAATGAAAAAAAAAACGCCTTGTCAAATGGATAACTTTTCTATTTTAGGGCGTAAAATGATAAATCCTGATAGTTCATTCAATATCCTACATGATCAATTGATGTTGGAATCATTATGGGAGACAGATTTTCTGATTTAAAAGAGTTATTCTCAATAAGAAAAAAAGTAATAATGAATGTGTTCGTTTAAACTACAATGATAAAGTGTGTATTGTATCTTTACTTCATGAATCATTTGATTCATAAAAATTTAAAAATAAGAGTTGTGTATGTTTTTCTCAAATAATCTTTAATTTTATACTAATATTTATTATTCAACCTGGGAAAACAATTTTAGATATCATTATATCCAAAATTTCAGATCTAATTTGATTTAATTTTATCTGTATTATGAGACTGACAGATGAAGATAAATTTTGATCTAAAGATATCTAAAAATAAATAATTATATCTAAATATGTAAAATTATATCTAAGTAGATTTAATAATATATATTTTGATTTTATCTATTTAGATATGAAAAGATCTGTTAAAATTTTTTTTAATTTTTAAATATACGTTTTGGAGTTCTTAACATCACGTAAAAATCAGAAAAAACAATATTTATTTTGAGAAATATCTCTACTCCACTCTTAGATATTGACAAGACTCTCCAAATTTACGATTATCAGCTAAATATAACTCTTTTAAACAAACAATCTCTATAAATTCAAGTTCACACTTTCTAAAAAATATATTAATAATAATTATAAAAATTTATTGAGTTTTGATATAACTCTTTTAAACAAAATAATGTTCAATGTTCATTGTTAATAATATGAATATTGAATATAAAATGTTATACTTAAGGGTTTAATTAGTGGTCGTTGACCTCGGATTTTTTTCATTTCGTTTAGCTTCACAGTCATGACTATGTCGACCTTTTTTTGAGTCGGGATCTTCCATCCTTTTGATTTCGCTATTTTTTTCATACAATCTATAAAGAAAATTAGAAAAAAAACATATAAATAATATAATATATAATTACATGAAAAAAGTGAATAAATAATGAAATTGAGTATGAATAATCAACCTAGTTAACCAACAAATAATTTATTATTCAATCATGATTAGAATAAATAAAAAAAAATTCAATTAATTGATTACCTGTAATAGCTTTTACGGCTTCGGAGTGGAGCATTTCATGCTTATTTGATTTTATGTGCAACTATGAGTAACAGCCATACTATTGAAATTAATGCTAACAATGAATTAATATACGAAGCCATTCAAATTTTTATCAATATTCATAATGAACTAGATTTTATACTCAAACCATTCAACATTGAATATCATGAACTGTTTCGTCATAATGGAACTGATACAGTTGTATTACATATTTTACCATTTACAGAGAAAAAATAATATTTATATATTAGAAAAAAGGACATTACATGTATATTTTATGTAATTAAAATTTTTAAATATATTTGTAAGCGACCTAATAATTTGAATAAAGTTCTGTGAATACGTGTAATGGAAGAGAATAAATTATTGTGATTTCGAAAATAAAGTTATATAATTTTTTACAGTTTTAATTCAAAGACACTAATTTCCTCGATTTCCTTTTTTCTTATAAAGCATTATCTTTTAAAAATTGATTTGAACAATGACAGTGTCGCCTCAAAACTTATAATATTAAAAGATAAAGAGCGAATGTATTGCATCTTATAATATTAAGATGCAATACATTTGAATTTACATCGATTTATTTATATCTATTAAGATATAATTAGATCTAAATATATCAAAACTTATCTTACTGTACTTGAAATTATATTCCCGAATGTGAGAATTAGTCTAATAATATCTGAATAGATCGAATTATATTCATTAAAGTATAAATATATCTAAATGGATCAAATTACATTTATTAAAGTATAAATAGATCTAGAAATATCTAAAGTTATATTATTATGTCTAACATTCTATATTTCTAAATATATAGGTTAGTCTAAAAATATCTAAGTTAATCTTATAATATCTATGTAAGTATACTGAGATCTAATAAAATCAAAATTTATCGTGTTTGATCTGATGTTATATATTTTTGTATTTTTTATTATGTCTAATAATATCTATTTAGGTCTAGTTATATTTAAATAAATATAATTATATCTAAAAGTCTTGTAATCCATATCTTTTTTTATAAATTTATGTCTAATTGTATCTAATTGTGTCTAATAATATTTAAAATATTTTTCCCAGGAAGAAACAAAAATTCGAGTGTATTTAGTGTTGATAAATCAATGTATATGTGTAAGTGGCTGTGTTACACTGATATACGAGTAATATATTTATATACAGAGAACATTATACTCGCGGTGATATTCTAGTGTTTACATTCTCTCATCCAGTAACGCCAAGTGTATCGAGTAGGTGTGTGTGTGTGTGCATTTAACATTATAGTTCATTTGTGTTATTGTGACTTACCAGTTTGTGCGTGTCTAATTTTTTCGTCTTAACATTGAGAAATACAGTAATGAGTTTGATTATGATTATTGAAGAGTGTTAAAATAAAAACCTCGTGTATTGAATAATTTGAAGGAATAAAAAAAGTAAGTAAATAGTAAAAAAATAATTGTAATACTGATACTTATTATAGCAAGAATAACAGCTCTCTAATAATTGTGATTATTTTCGTTAATATTTAATTGATTTGACAATGAAGATAACAAAAGATTGGCAGTTTTTTTTTTTAATGAAAATAATGGAAATATTGAGAGAAATATTATACAAAACATGCATGTAGAGATTTCTAAACAAACATCCTATAAATTAAAATCATTTATTTTGTAGAATAACTTGAAAAAATCAAAATTACTCGATCTGTTACATCTATTATCGATAACTCTCTTTTTTCACATATAAACGATTATTGGAGTTCTGTTAATTTTTAAAAATAAAAAAAACATTTTTGATTAAATTTATGAATATGATTAATATATATCGAGGTGGAGGATAATCGAACGAATAAACGTTATGCTGTTGTGGGATTCTTACCAAAAAATACTGATGGTACAAATCAAATTGGCTTGGTACCATCGAGCTGGATCACACAAGATGGTGAAGAATTATTCTCGTTTTACTCACCTGCTGATGATTATCATACACTTAACAAGTATGTACGAGAGTTGCGGGATGCAAAAGACAGTTGGCTGAAATATCTAGTAGAAATTCTATCTTATGCAGGTAACTAATATATATTTATTTTATTTATATATATTTATATATTTATCAATATATATTTATCATTTTATGAGAAGAATAATTGATGATTCGATTAAAACAATATTATGAAGCTTTGTTAATAATTATGCTTGAATTGAAAACTATTCGCAAGGAAACAGACGTTTAAATCGTGCCTTCACAACCATTGAGAATAGAAGCATTGATGATGATTCCAACAGAACAATTGTAAAGCCACCAGTAATATCACAAGCAAGTATTCTTGAAGAAATGGGAAAAATATCACCAATGCACAAAGACAATTTTTCAACTAGTTCAATGGAGGAAAACAAACAAAAAAATAATGGTAAAGTATTCTCAGTTATTTAAAATTTCATAAGTAATAAATTAAATTTACAGAAGTGATGTTATCTGATCCATTAAGACCGATTGCTGAAGAAACGGGGGGAGTTATTGACTCAGGTAAATTTATATTTATTTTATGTGTAATATTTGCTGCGTAACTTCGGCGTTCTCTACTCAATGAGAAGGAAAGCTTGCAGTATGATTTGAAGAAATATGTCGATAAAATAAAAATTACGTTAATAGCCAACAAAGTAGCCACAGATCCTTAACAAAGTGCTTCAAATGCAGTCGAAACGTTAAATGTCGAGCTACCATTAAAAAATCTTGAGGAATTTCAAGAGTTTGATGCTGATTTAAAAAACACAGCATCAAAAACGAGGCATTGGTAAATATTATACACATTGTTATACTATATTACTATTCTAACGATGAAATTGAATTTGCATTGATTAAATATCATAACTATTTTTCGCTAAAGTTTTTCCGGATCAAAATTTTTGAAGAAAAAACGGCTAAGAAATGTATAAGTAAAATGGCATCTACATTGATGATAAAAAATATTGAAAAACACTACTCTGGAACTGGCAAAAAAATGAAAGGCGTGGAAAAACTTAATTTCAGCGCAACAGAAACATTTAAGTGTGTGGAAGGTATGACAAACGATATTTACTCTAACATTTACATAAAATTTTTTTGTAATTGTGTTTTTTAACTCATTAAATTATTTTTTTGTTATATTGCAGATGTAGTAAAAGAAAAACTAGGTGATTGTGAAGAGTGCAAAAATTTCGCTGGAAAAGTTGGGCGGTGATTTTCAGGGCAAGGAGACCGGAAACATGGTCAGAAAGAACGATCCTTATCTGTATAATATTGTAAAATGTATGAATGTCTCCATCTATGGATTGATTGACTAACGACAGTTTGTTAGTTAACGACGATTTGATTGTTTATAGCAACGAGGAGAGAGTTTGTTTATCTCTAGTTTAGGACTAAGACTAGCTACTTTTTGACGTCTTGTCTTTGATTCTGTATTTGAATCTGTCACTTTAAATAAACTAAATTTTAATATTAGTGGTTCTCATTCTATTATTTTACATTTGGTGTCAGAAGTGTTTCGTCTCACGTGTCGAGATATTCTATTTGTATGTTGTGATATTTTTAAAGTTTTGAAATATGTCAAGAACACCGAACCATCGTCAAACGAGGAGAGAAACGAGGAGAACTCGTTTTGAAGATTGTCTTGAAAAAGATAATTCTTTTAATGGTGGATTATTGGCTTTGAAAATGCGAATGAACAGATTAAAGGAACAATTATCGCAAAACAAATTAGAAATGTATGGCTTATTTCAAAATTTCATGAGAGACATAACATCTCTAGATATTAATAATAATTTCAATTCTAATAATAATAATAATAATAATAATAATAATAATAATAATGGCTGCATATTCTGTGGTGCGATATACACCCAGAGTTACAACATCTAACGCAGACAGCGCTCGCCTCGCAGGTGCGGTATACTCAGTCTCGACGGCGGATAGAAGAGGAGCCATACTCTGACTCTTCAATATCAGACGCTTCAGAGACTGAGGACGAAGTCTCATTGACACTCGAGACAGCCGCACCGAAGTGGAGCATACTCTCGTTCCGCCCTTCTCTTATTGCAGAACCCCCATCTCCTCCCCCTGAGGGCGCCAACCAACAGGACTTCACCAGCAGAGAGGGTAATTTTCTCCGGAAAATTACGTTCTCTGCAGAACACTTAGCTAGCGCTAACCAAGATCTCGACCATCGGGTACCAGATAGTGTAGACTTTTTTGCACTCAACAATGCAGTCTATGATGTGGCTCGAGGGTTTACTCAGGGCAGACGAACACCTGTCAATCCTGAGTTAAGCCTGAAAAGATGCATCGAACAGATTGCAATTAAGATCAAGAAGGCTCGACAGGGTGCATCTCGTATTCAGAGTGTGATGGATCACTTAAATACTCACAGGCCTTATACGCCAAGAATTCGGCGTATCGTGGCGAGTATCAGACGTGAACATCACACTTTGAATACCGCCGTGTTACTGATCCTAAAGGAAAGAAGCACAGGCAAAATAAGATCGCTAATGGCCATTAAAAAGTCATTAGCGAAGTGGTACAAGCGGCGAAGGGACAACAGATTGTTCCAATCTGACCCTTCGCGCTTTCTTAAGCCGCAAGCCCCTGTCACTTATGAGCCTCCGAGTGCAGAAAGAGTCGAAACCTACTGGACCGAAATATATGGTCGCGCTAGTGCGCTAGATGTAGACACTCCAGCCCTTCAACTTTTCAGAGAATTCTGTGACGAACATCTATCACGAATTCCTGAAGAGTTTTAACGAGTTAGCATTGATGAGATCTGGAATGCTCTAAGAGGCACAAAGAACTGAGCTGCCCCTGGGCCGGATGCAATCCCCACCTTCTGGTAGAAGAAATTGACACCATCCCACCAGCATCTGGCTCGTATCTTCTCAGAATATCTAAGAGGAGATATGCCCATTCCTGGCTGGCTCGTTGAAGAGCGCACTGTGCTTATTCCTAAAAGTGGTGATCTGTCTAATCCCAAGAACTACAGGCCTATTGTATGTCTGAATACTCTCTACAAATTATTTACGAAAATTTTGAACGAGAGGATTTTGACTGCAATAGAACCTGTATGGAGATAGATAAACGAACAACGTGGCAGCAAGCGTGGCTTGACAGGTTGCAAGAAGATCTTGCTAGTAGACCGATGCGTCACAATGGACGCATACTACTACAAGCGCAACGTGTCAATGGCTTGGGTGGATTACAGAAAGGTATTTGATACAACATCGCAGGAGCTTTTCCGATACTTGCTCGAATGCCTTTCAGTACCCCCACAAATAGTAAGATGCATCGAACATCTGATGCCGCTCTGGAGGACACGTTTCACCGTAACATCTGGTAAAACGAGAGTGTCCACCAAAGCAGTGCCATTTAGGAAAGGCGTATACCAGGGAGATACCCTGAGTCCTCTTCTATTTTGCATCTCACTGCTGCCATTATTTGTCACTCTACGCCGAACGCCTGGATATAAAGCTGGACGAGTCTCCGACCGCGTACACAAAGTCACACATCTATTTTATATGGATGACTTGAAAGTGTACGCGGCAAGTCCTGAGAGACTCCGAACAGCCCTAGAGGTTGTTTCCGGGTATACCAGTGCAGTCGGCATGGAGTTTGGGTTGGACAAGTGCGCAGTTGCCCACTTAGTAAAAGAAAGATCACCGAACTGGAGTGATAATGTCGAGCTTACAGACGGGAGCATCATAAAACATCTGGATGCTGGAGAGTCATACCGATATCTTGGACAGGCACAATCTCCTTTGCAGGACGTGTCTGTCATCAAAGATACTCTCCGCAGTGAGTATAAGTAGCGACTTAAAAGAATATGAGGCTCTGAATTATCAGGCCTTAACAAAGTCAAAGCCACGAATATGCTCGCTGTCCCAGTCTTGCTATATTCATTCGGAGTTCTTAAATGGCTCCGAAAATAACTTAAAGAGCTAGACATTATCACGAGAAAAGTGATGACGTTATATCGAAGTCATCACCCGCGATCTTCTGTCCAACGCCTATACTTTCCCCGTGATCTGGGAGGGCGTGGACTACTAAGTTTGGAGTGTCTACATGAGAGGTTAGTGATAGGCTTAGCTTATGACATCTATGAGAGCTCTGATCCTCTTCTCAAGTTCGTGAACAGCTTTGAACTATTGGGAAGGAATGCGTTCCTATATAGAGCAGCATATCAGGCAGCGCAGAACCTCGGCTCAGTTTTCAACCCTAGCAGCCCAGACGGTCTAAGGCATTTGCAATTGAAAAGAGGGCAGCGAAAGGTCGATATAAAAACAACCGAGCAGTTAAAACTGTTCGACGAACATGTGGCAAAGTCCGAAGGATTCATTATGGCCTGCCAAGATGGTGTATTTTCCACCCTCGCCTATCGGCGGGATGTAATGCACGAGCAACTCGAGGACACAAGATGCCGAGTTTGCCGCGGTGATGTAGATGAGACGCTATTTCATGTATTATCGGCTTGTCCGATATTAGCGCGCTCAGCCTACACCGGCATAACGCTGCCCTAAGAGTGCTGTATTACCACCTTCGGCACTCTTACGGAATAGACGAGACACCAGTGCTGCCCTATGTGTCCGGTGAAATTGAGTCAGTCGTTGAGAACGGGAGAGCAAAAATTCTTTAGAATTACCCACTCTCTACGCCTCAACGCATTGAACACAATAAGCCAGATATTACTCTTTTTGACCATACCACCAAGCACGTATAGTACATTGAGTTCTCAGCCCCGGCCGAGACAAATATACGTGCAAAAGAAGAGAGTAAATAGGAACGCTACAGAGAGCTCATGGAGGTCATGAGAAACGTCCATCACGAATACACAGCGCACGTGATAGTCCTGGTGATCGGCGCCCTCGGAGGGATGAGGGACCGCTTTCTGACAGAGCTTCGAACAATACCAGTCTGCCGTAGTCAGGCTGAGATTCTCGCGGCTCGTATGCAGAAAGCGGTCATCCTTGGTTCTCTTCGAATCCTGAGACGACTGTAAATAATGACTGAACGGCTACAGCCCCGGCTCACCCTCAAATCTGAGGGAGTCGGGTAACTGCAGGATAATCCCGTCTGGTCAGGCCCCAGATGGGTCGGAGCCCTGGGATCCCTGGCCAGACACCTCTGACGAATTGCAAGATGAAAATAATAATAATAATAATAATAATAATAATAATAATAATAATAATAATAGTATTAATAACAATTCGATGAATGTTGAAACAATTTCAAATAATTCTTCAGGAATTGTTAATCTTAATAATTCTTTAAATTTAAATCCAAATTTAATTGAATCGGTCTCATCGTCTTCCATCGGAAATTCGTTATCTTTCGCGAAACCGGCAAAATATGATAGGTCTCAGACATGGCAATCTTATTCACGTCAATTTGAGACCATCGCTCGATTGCATAATTGGTCAAAAATTCAAATTTAAATAAACAATTTGATAATGAAAATAATAATAATAATAATTTTAGACATTTCCGAGATAACAATAATAATTCTAATTTTTCTAAAAAGAATTTCAGGAAATTTGTTAATGGAAATTCTTCTCAAGGTTTTCAATGTTGGGTTTGTGGACAGAAAGGTCATTTAAGAAATAATTGTCAAGTTCTTCAAGCTGTTCAAGCTAGTTTGAGAAATAATTCTCAAAATATTGGTAATTCTTCAAGGAAATACGCTTCCAAAAAAAAATTTCGTCAGAATTAAATTATAATTTAGTTAGTTCTTCGAAGATTCACCATGCTTCCCCCGTTCGAAGGACAGAAATTGAGTACCTCGCCTCGTTGGGCATAACTCTAGGAAATTATAACTCTACTCTTTTCACGATGGCATTTCCCGGGACGCGTATACCTGCACTTAGAACAGGCACAGGGATACACGTAACAAGCCCGAGGCCTTACAACCACTACGAGTCCGACTTCAATTGGCCAGTTGTACGTAGGCCTACATGTCATATTTTGACTTTGCAGCACCAGGCACAGGGCTTGGAATTTGGCCTCCTGTAGTACCAACTTTATTCGCTTTGGTCGGTGGTCGCTAACCCGTCTCGCGCTCAGCGTGTTCGACGTGCCCACATTCAGACTACCATATAGGGCAGTACGAAAAACCTTTACTTATACTTAAAGGTGAAATTAATGGTAAAAAATGTAATATGTAGTTGACACTGCTGCTGATATTACGGTTGTTAATTCTTCTCTTTTTAATGAGAAGTTTACTAGAGCAAATAATTCTTCTCTTTTTATTTTTATAGTCTCTTGTGATAAATTTGATTTCGATTTTCTTCAGACTATGGAAATTAAGATTTTAAATGTTAAAATTAGTTTAGAGGTTGTTTT